AGTTTGGCTTTTTTCCACCCAGAGAATCACTGCTCACTGGTTATGTTCTCTTTCTTCACACCTCTGTAAACTCCAGAGATGGTTGTGTGTGTGTGAAAATCCCAGCAGATCAACAGTTTCTGAAAGACCAGCCTGTCTGGCACCGACAATCAAACCTTTTCCAAAATCACTCAAATCACTTTTCTGCCTTGTTGTGATTCTCGGTTTGAACTTCAGCTGGTTGTCTCAACACGGTGCTTTCAGTCGTGCAGACAAAGTTATTTGATTGGCTGATTTAAAAATTTGCACTGGTGTACCTAATGAAATGGAATGAGTGCATAGCTCTAACATTCAGATTTAACAAACACGACCCAGAAATGAGCCTCACAGGTGCTGGAAGATGGACTTTTGTAGTCTTTGGAGAGACTCGTGGTTTCCATGGTGTCACGGAGGGTGAGTGAGTGATGGAGCCCAATAATGTAGTTATTGTGTTTTTCATGGCTAAGGCAATACACACAGTCACATTTTTTTCCACATATTTCTATTGTAATAAAAATCCTCGCTCCACTCACCCCTGTTCATTTTCACCTATTTTCAGCGCCCCTTCACACAGGTTCACTCGGGTCTCATTTTAAAAGTTCAACTAATATTTCCTTAAACATCAGCCGACTCAGCTGTGCCAGTGAGAGGGAGTCGCCCTTCATCGTGTCCAGTGTTCAGTTGGAGGTGTGCGTGATGGTGGAGTCGTTTGTTTCGGAAGCTCGGCGCCAAGTGTGCAGCCGACAGTGAAGCAGCAGGCGAAGCTCCGGGGAGACGCTGCTGGAGAAGGCGGAGTAGATCCAGGGGTTGGTGCAGGAGTTTAGACTGGCCAACAGCATCAGCAGGGTAAACACTACACCTGTGTACACACACAGGAGGAGGAGGAGGTCCGTAAAGGGCACAGGGGACAGCAGATCAGGCCATCAAGTCAAACTCTGCTTCAGGGTGCTATCTTTGGTAGCCCTAAAGGTACTTATTGTAGTCTTGTATATAAAAGTTTATTAGAGAGTTTTAAAGTTAACACAATGACTTCATGTCTAAGGCATCTTTGTGTTGTACAGTTTGGACCCTGCACCAGCTGTCACAGGATGAGAGGCGGAGAAACACCCTGACAGATTACTGCTCCATTTAAATTGGGTT